CCATTCACTTATCCAGGTGATAGGTAGGAGGAGAATCATCCCTCTTTTCCCTGTTTTAAGTTTTCCCAATACGAGTACCTCAGCTTTCCTGCCCCCCTGGGGGGAATGTGACCATGTCACTTTCCTTTGCCTCTTCCTCCTGCACCTCAGTACTTCCTCATCCTGTTCCAGTAACAAACGCTGAGGTTCTCGTTGGAACGCTGTCCTTTTGTTTCTGCCCCTTTCCCTTCCGGAGTGTTGCCTGGGCTGACACGTATACACTGTCTGACAGCCCCTGAGAAAGTAGCCCAGAATGTGCTGTGGGGCATCTTCAGGTATGATACTACACCAGGTGCTTAAAATCTAAGAGTTCTGTTACTAATGGACCTCAAAAATACTGTAATTGAGGAAATTGGGCTGTCTTAATCTAACCAGTTTTATGTTTAAGCAAGGCAGTTTTTAAATTCAATTCTCCAGTAGAATCTTAGAAAATGATCGATAGAACTTGCTGTGACATTTCTCTGTTAATGACAGATTTATTTTCCTTTTCGTATTTTCAAGAGTGATAATTCCCGTTTCTCTCATTTATCCCCCCTCTGCCCAGTGTCACTGAGACTGTCACACGGAAGTGCCACCCAGGATCACACTTCATCCATTCCATTTGCATAGGTCATGAAAGGTTATACTGGCTTGGCTTCTCTTGGAAGCAGGCTCCAAGCCAAGAATTTGAGTGAAAGTGGTTTATGAAGGAAATCTCAAGATAAACCAGAGAGAAAGAAGGAAAGAAATGAGAGGAGAAAGCAAACAAGTGTTTTAGTACCGTAAAGAAAGTCTCTGACTGTACATGTTGGGAGGTGGCTCTGAACTATACTTGCCTCTCAGAGTTTGCTCTGCCTGAAGGCGTTTTCTGTCTCCTTCATGGGTCAGTCGTTGGCTGCAGGTGAGGTATCTGGTGCAGGACGGTCTTCTGGAGCCCTTTAAGGATGAGCCGTCTGTTAGCAACGAAGAGCAGTTAGGTCTGGGGGACAGGTGCAGACCTGGTAGAGCAGATCTAAGCATATTTCCGGATAGGGCACCAGCAGTGCCCACTACAAAGGCAGAGTCAGAAAAGCCCACATATTCATCCATATTTCACTCTCCTTTTGCCGCTGAGAGACTTGAGAATCAGAGAGGTAAAATACTTTGCCTAGAGCAGGGGTCCTCAAACTTTTTAAACAGGGGGCCAGTTCACTGTCCCTCAGACCGTTGGAGGGCCATTGGAGAGCGCGGCGCACATTCCACACGTGCGCACTGTGGGCCCGGGACAAGTCGGCTGCTAAGCAGGACAGGCAGCAGCGGCAAAAACACCTGGCGGGGCTGGATAAATGTCCTCAGTGGCCCGAGGGGCCGTAGTTTGAGGACGCCTGGCCTAGAGTCTCACAGCTGAGTGGTAACAGAAGGAAGATCGGGCCTCCGTGGCCTCACTCCCTAACCAGTGCTCGAGCACCAGCTGATAGTGGCAAAGGGTGTTATAGTTGTTCCCATTGCACCTCAGTTCTCTTTAATATTGTAGGCATTTGTCTGAACCTTTTAAAGCACATTTTAAAAAACTTTAAATCAACCTTTTTATATACAATAAATTGCATTATTTTCAGTATACAATTCATGAGTTTTTACAAATGTGTATACCATGGCAATAATCAAGATGTGGGACATTTCCATCCCCTCAGAAAGAGCCTTCTCTATATTGTAATGAGTGGTCCAGGCCACCGATGTGCTTTGTCATTGATTAGATTGGCCTTTGCCTAGTATTTCATGAAAATGGAATCACACGGCATGTACTCTTTTGTGTCCGGCGTGTTTCACTCAGTACGTGTTTGAGAGTCACACATGTGTGCTAGTGTTTTGTTTCTTTTTATTGCTGAGTAGTATTTCATTGTATGAATACACTACAATTTATCTATTACCTGTAATGGACAGTTTCTGTCTATTATGAATAAAGCTGTTAACGAACATTTGTTTACAGGTGGTTTTGTGTATCCCTATTTTCATATCTCTTGGGTAAATAACATGTTTTAGAAGTGCCGGGTTGTGTGGTAATGGCTAAATTACTTTCCAAAGTGATTACATTTTACATTCCCGGTAGCAATGAGAGTTCCAAATGTACCGTATCCTCTCCAACACTTGATATTGCCAGTTTTTAAATTTTAGCCATTTAGATAGTATGTAGTATTGTTTTAGCTTGCATTTTCCTGAATATTCATGATGCTGAGTCTCTTTTTATCTGCTTACTGGCCATTGGCATGTAGTCTTTTGTGACTTGTCTGATCAAACCTTTTACACAATTGTCAATATATGTGTGGGTTTATTTCTGGGCTCTACTCAATTCCAAAATAGCTATTTTATCCAGATCATGCTTATTCCATCATGTCTACATTTTCAGATTTGTTTCTATTGGCTGATTTCTCTCCTGATTATAGGCCATATTTTTGTGTTTGTTGTCACAGTAACTTTATAGTGGATACTGGATATTATAAGGTTTTTCTGAGGGAGAGGATGCTAGATTTTGTCATCTTCTAAGAAGTTTTATACTTTTTTTCCACCTAGCAGTTACGTTACCTGCTTGGTCCTTTAGAACCTTGTTTTCCAGCTTTGTGAGATCAGGTTCGAGTAGCTGATACTCAATGTCTTGTTTAGATCCATTGCTAGGGTGTAACCCAGCCTGTGGTCTCCACTCCATTCCCCAGATGTTCACTATGGCCTCTCTCCCCTGGCTGGTCGGAATCAGAACCTGTCACAGCTCTGTGTGAGCTCGGGAATTCATCTGCACGTAGAGTCTCAGTTGTCCTTTGCCTGGCCTTGTGTATTTCTCCTCTACATTTGTGCATTTTAATATTCACTCACAGACTTAATGCACCCCCTGTGTAAGTTTGTGGAATTTCTCCAGTCTCCTGTGCTTCACTCTACAGATTCCACCGGTCATGGCATTCTTGAAATATGCTCTCCCTCCCACGGCCCCCCAACTGAGCAGGATCCCATTCCTTTGCTTGGGCTACTCCTCTTTGCACTGCTGTGCAAAAAAATGCTTTCAGGTAGAAATGTGGGGTAGTCTTAGGACTCATTTTCCTTCTTTCAGAGATCACAGCCTTGTACTACCTGCTGTCCAACATCTGAAAAATCATTGTTTCATATATTTCATTCTGTTTTCTAGTTACTTACAGTGGCCCTGTTATTCCATCATGACCTTCTTCATTTTTTAAAAAAAATCTCCATTCTGCGTAACCTTTGTGTTTCCAGCTTCATGTATTTTCCATGTTAAAGACATGTTTCTATTTGCCCCACATTATGTACTGTTTGTATTTGGTGTTTGGGGGCTGGGATACACTCAGGTACAGTATTCTGCTAAAGACAAGATTTAAAGTCATAATGCCATAGCCTTTACTCCTTTGAATTATTTTACTTTTATTTTAAAATGTGGCATTGTTGAATATAACATATAAAAAAGTGTATATACTTGGTTTGTAGCTGTATAAAAAAATAAAAATAAAAAATAAAAAAGTGTATAGCTTGAACTAACTATGTAAGTCAAATCAATATTTTTAAAGGGAGCCACCATGTAATTGCGATAAGTGAAAGCAACAGAGCACTGTCCGCGTGCACAGAGCCTCCTTTATCTGCTCCATCCGTCACAGCCCCTCCCTGCTCGGGGAGATGACGACCGTCCTGTCACGGTAGGAGGTGTCTAATACATGTCCACAGACCGAGGGTGATGTTCCAACCTGCACTAACCTTCTTGTGATTCTCTGTCCATTCCCTTGTAAACACCCTTGTATCCCAATGCTGGACACCAACTCCTTGGCCCAACATGTGGCCACAACCCAAACCCCTCCCCCAAACAAACAAACAAACAAAACATATTTCTGTTTTAAATTGCAAGAAAATGTTTAGGGTAACTTGTATTCTTTTTTTGTTTTTCTTTGCACTTTATATCTCCTACTGTAGCTTCACCACACAGTGAAGAATGTGTTTCAAGTTTATAAGATGAGGATAACTGTGAGGATAGCTGCTGTGAAGCCAGAGGATTGAGGGCTGACTTACAGATGGGATGATGGGGCTTCATGGGGAGGCAGCACGTGAGCTTTGCTACGGAGCAGTGGTGCTGGGTCGTGGCTACTTACTGGAATCACCTGAGGAGCTCTTTCTTACACCCGCCAGGCCTGCAGAGACTCTAGGAATTTTTACAGGGTCTCTGTGTGATTGTGGTGTGCAGAACCAAGGATCGGGATCGTAGACTAGAGCATTCTCCTTAAACCACGACCAGGGTTTTTTGTTTGTTTATGTTTAAATTTCGAACCTACTAGGATGGACTCAGTGATATATTTTGTAAAATACCATAAAAATGAATTACTAGAAAAGTAAAAAACAAAAAAAACACTCAGATGCAAAGAAATACAGAACACAAGCCCCAATATTATTAGATTCAACAGATACACAATAATAAAATTGCTATAAAGATTTCAGAATGTTTACTGCTGCTTTCTGTACTTATTGTCATGGACACGAAACTCAGTTCATGGACCAGTCAGTGCTGGTGGGCACAGTAGACCAGCCTGGAGCAGAGCTGACGTAGGGGCAGCATGGAGGAGTCCTGTCTTGAGTGAATGGCAGCACGCGCCATGGAAGTAGGCTGGGTTCAGACAAGAAAGGGCCTGGGATGGTGGGACAAATAGCTTGGTGTTATTCTGGCATGGGGGAGCCAAAGAATTCTTGAAAGTCATGATCTAATTGGCAACATTGTGTATGACGGCTTTACAGTGAGAATACATCATTGACAAGAACCTGAAAGGGCAAAGGGGGTGAAGGGTTGTGGACTAGGTAAATAAAACAAAAACTATCACATTTTGGGAGCAGTCACTGCAGAAATGCTAGTAGACTCCTCAGAGGATATAAGAATTTAAGCTAGCTACTCCCTAAAGCTTAAATAATCCAGAAAACACAACTAAATTCTAAAAAAAAAATTGTACCTAATAATATATTTTCAGAAACCACACAGATAGAAGATCCAAGAAAACAATGGAGGGGGGAGCAGGAGAAAATGCTCAAGGACTATCTCTCAGTGGCCCAGGACGCACTCAGGACACAGAAGGAGCTGTACCACGTGAAGGAGCAAAGACTGGCATTGGCCCTGGATGAATACGTGCGATTAAATGATGCCTATAAGGAAAAGTCGAGTTCTCGCACAAGCTGTAAGTGCAGTGTGGCTACTCAGACTTTAGAGATGGTGATTGAGTATTGCAGGTAGTAGAAGACCACTTGCATTTCTGTGAAGTTGCATTCTAAGTCCTTTTCCCCTCCTGGGCTAGAAGAAAACCCTGAGAGGTGGGAGAGGTGGGTGGGAGGTTGGTCAGTGAAACCCCTCAACCCCATTCCAGATGAAAGTCTTCCCGTTTGGGGATTGTGTGTGCCTTCTGTTTCTGCTCCTCCCTCTGCCTGATTGTCTTTTATTCATTTATGAGTTAATTTTTACCATTTCAGAACAAGACCAGTAATCTAGCCTTTTTGCTACTCTTGTAGAATATTTTCAGTGGGGAGGAACTGGAACTCTTAGTTAAAGTGAGGTTTCTGTTGATGGCCTGAGTTGATTTACCTCCTCCTCATCTTGTAAATTGATAATGTGGAGCTGCCTTTGTTTAAAGCAGCAGCTGTGATGGGCTCAGAAGTGCTACACAAATGATAAATTCCTGGATAATGCAAAGCTCTCACCTACTGCACCTGCAGTATAGTCCTCTAAGGACATAGATGTATAAAATCCGGAAGAAAATTAAGCACCGGGGTCTGTATGACATTCCACTTTACTGAGTTTGCTTTTTTTTTTTTTTAATTACAGAGATTTGAAGGTTACTTTTTATATTTACATGTCTGGTGAATGACAGTAAAGGAATTATAAAAAGAAATAAGTATCCACAAGAAACGCATAAATCTTGTTGTTTTAAGAGTCAGTAAATTCTAAGCTGAGAACGTGTTAGGCAGCTTGTAAATAATTATTTTTCTTTTTTCTCTTTCCAAAGTATTCTCAGGATCTTCATCCAGTACTAAATATGATCCCGATATTTTAAAAGCTGAGATCTCCACTACACGATTAAGGGTAAGTGTTTTGAGTGTGGCTCTACGTTGACTGTGTATGTATGGACTCTGAAGGCTGTGGAAGGGAAGAAGGGTCATAGGAAGGAGGGTCATCTCCCATCTCCATTCCTTGTAGCAAACTCCTCCACCTCTCCCTGTTGGGTGGTCCTTCTGCCTCTGTTTGAACAAGTTCTGTGTTTGGGATCATCTTTGTTATTGAGGTGACACATATTCCGTTTATTGCAGTTTTATTGTTAGAATAGTGAATCAAAATTTGAATCTTGATAACTTGTCTTTGCTCATTGTTCTGAGTTTTATCCTCCAGAGTTAAGCCAAGTTACTCTTTCATCAGACAACCCGACATTTAGAGATGCCTACAGTTTGCATCATCATGTCACTATGTCCTGCCTTTTCTAGGTCAGACTTTGCTGGGGTCCTCATAATTCCTCTTACAGGATTATTTCCTGATCCTTGCCATACATCTTTTTGACCAAACTGCTCTTAAGGCCAGAGTTTGTTTATTCTTGATTTTTGGAGTATTAAAGACTGTTTGCCAAGCAAATAAACTCAGGTACCCAAGACCCAGGTCATGAAGCAGGTTATTGCCATGACTACAGAAGCCTCTGTTGTGTCCTTTCATCATCCTTACCCTTCTCTCTACGATATACATCATCCTCATTAACACAGATGTTAATTTTTGGCTTGCTTTGCACAGTGTAAAACTGGCATGCTACCATGTGTATTATCTGATGGCTTGTTTTGCTCAGCAATCATTTTGAGATTCATTCACGCTCACTTGTATTGCTGTGTAGTGTTCCACTTTTGTGCATATACCATAAATCCTTTATCTCATTTACTGTTGATGTGTACACTAAAGTTTATTTCAATTTCTAATTATTAAAAATTACGCTTTAATGTACATGTCTGTTATACATGTCTTTTGGTGCACATATGTACACAGTTTTGTTGGTTTTGCAGCTAGGAGTAGAATTGCTATGTCAAAAAATATACCCATCACACAGCATAGTTCTCCAGATCCATGATGTTATAACAAACAGCAGGATCTCCTTTTTTATGGCTGAATAATCTCACTTGTATGTGGAATAGTAAAAAAAAAAAAAAAAAAAAAAAAAGAAAAGTCAATATACAGAAATAGAGAATAAAACAATGGTTATGGGGAACGGGTGGGGGAAGAGGAAACGGAGAGATGTAGTTCAAAGGGTACAAAGTAAGCAGATATGTAGGATGAACAAGTCTAGAGATCTAATGTTCAACATGAGGATTATAGATGGTAACAGTATATCATATTAGGGACTTTTGTTAAATAAATAGATTTTAGTTGCTCTTGTAACAAAAATACTGTGAGCTGATGGATATGTTAATTCGCTTTACTATAGTAACCATTTTACTATCTACATGTATCCCATAACATTAGGTTGTAAACCTCAAATATACACAGTACAGTTTATTTTAAAAATACACAGTCATGTATCACTTAATGACAGGGTTACAGTCTCAGAAATGTGTCGTTAGACAGTTTCATTGTTGTGTGAACGTAATAGATGCACGTACACAAATGTGGATGGTACAGCTGCTACACACCTAGGCTATATGGTACAGTGTATTGCTCCTAGGCCACAGACCTGTATAGCACGTGATTGTACTGAATACTGTAGGCAGTTGTAACACAATGGGAAGTATTTATGTGTTAATATTTAGCCATGTCTAAGCATAGAAAAGGTAATGTGTTGTCCTACCAAATTTTTCAACTCCATTATAATCCTAGGAGACCACCATCATATATGTGAGGAAATGTCATTATGAGGTGCATGACTGTACATGTCGTATTGGATACTGCCTAAGTTTCAGCCCTTCTTACTTTCTAATGTCTGCGTTTAAGGCTCTAAATTACTTTATGTGGCTTTCTCCTACATCCCACAAATTTGATTTTTGTATTTTTATTATCACTTAGTTAAAAATGTTTTCTGACTTTCTTTGTGATTTCTCATATGAGTGCATTGTTTAATTTTCAAACATTTGGACATTTTTCTTTAATCGATTCTAGCTCAATTACACTGTACTTTTCAGTTTTTTTAAATTTTCTATTTGATTATTTTTATTGTTTCTGTTGTCCAAATTCTGCACATTGATGTATAATTTTTGAACATCTTGTTATCTTTAGTGAGAATCTAGTTTTCCTTCTTATAGGTAGTTAGGCCAGGGGCAGATAATTTTAATCCAGTCAGGATTGGAGCTGACTGGAATCTGGGCTTCAGTCCCTTTCTAAGTGTGAGTCTGTTTCCAGTTTAGCCTTTCTCTTAGGGCAAAGCTCTTCAAAATCCTAGTGAAACGCTTGGAATGTTTTACCAGGGCCCCTTGTGCCTGATGAAGGCTGAACTCGAAATCTCTCCCCTCATGCCTCAGCTCTGGAACTGCCAGAGTCCTCTGTGTCTCAGGCGCTCTGTCACTGCATGCATCCAACTTCACAGTTTCTCCGTTGCATCGGCAAATCCCTCAAAAGGAAAAACAGTGCCAAGTTTGGCTCATGACACTGAGCTTCTCTTATCTTCTGGATCTTTAACACAAGTTCTCGCTACCTTAGAAGTTCTCCAGTGTCCCTGAACAGATGTTTGTTTGTTTTGGTACAACTTTTCTATTTGTTCTCTGAAAGAGCGTGAAAAGGTTTGTCTTCACTTACTGGAGGCAAAACCTCTCATTAGTTTGGTTTTCTTGGTTTTATTTTTGAAGTTGTTGATGGAAGTGTTCTGTGTCATTCTACAGTAAATATCCCTCGCAGGGGTGGGGAACCTGCGGCCTGAGGGAGAGATTAAAAAACAAAAACATATTAAGATATCTCATACAATAATCATTGAGAAGGAAATGGAGCCCCCATCCCAATCAGAGCTATCACAGAAGGTCCCAAGTGGTCACGTTCCCCAGAACTGTCTTCTAATGTAGCAGAATCCCTTATAGAAAGCTTATTCTATGCCAGGTTTATTACTTTTTAAAAAAATTTTTTTATATATTTTTAGTTGTCCAGCTAATTTCTTTTTATGTATGTATGTATGTATGTATTTATTTATTTGAGACAGGGTCTCGCTTTGTTGTCTAGGCTAGAGTGAGTGCCGTGGCGTCAGCCTAGCTCACAGCAACCTCAGACTCCTGGGCTTAAGCGATCCTCCTGCCTCAGCCTCCCGAGTAGCTGGGACTACAGGCATGCGCCACTGTGCCCGGTTAATTTTTTCTATATATATTAGTTGGCCAATTAATGTGTTTCTACTTATAGTAGAGACGGGGTCTCGCTCTTGCTCAGGCTGGTTTTGAACTCCTGATCTCGAGCAATCTGCCCGCCTCGGCCTCGCAGAGTGCTAGGATTACAGGTGTGAGCCACCGCGCCCAGCCTCTTTTTATTTCTTTTACTAGAGATGGGGTCTTGCTCTTGCTCAGGCTGGTCTCAAGCTCCTGAGCTAAAACTATCCACCCGCCTCGGCCTCCCAGAATGGAATGCTAGGATTACAGGCGTGAGCCACCACGCCTGGCCTCTATGCCAGGTTCAATTTGCCCTTGATATCAGAGGCCTATATTTTAAATATGTGTATTTTATCACTGTGACCACAAAGAGAGAGATGCTTCCTTCAAGAAGAGGATATAAGACATTCATAAATAACTATAATAAAAGATCACAAATAACACTGTCTTTATCTCTTTTATTAGTGCCTAGGTGGTGGTTTAACACTTCCTGGCAGTGTTGATGTCTTTTTGGGAATGTTCCCTTAGCAAATTGGCCTTTGCAGTCTGTGCTGCTGTTGTGAAGTTTCGAGCTATGTCATGGTTTGAACACTTTGGCACAGGTGGCAAGCTCTTTTTGGTATTTGTGTACATTTTTCGCCAGGTTGCACTTTTAGAATGCTCCAGCCGTTCACATGTGGATGGGTCACTTGGCAGAGTCCATTGGATTTTGACAACTTGGCCATTCTCGTACCCTGTTAAAATCCCTTTCACAAGTTAATACAACAGGAATAGTAACTCATTAATGAACTAACTCTTCATCACTTTGGTGTCTTTGAGTATGTGCCTGCATTTTTGGTCACAGTAACAACTTTTCAGACATAGCCAAACACTAGTTCTGTGCTTTATTATTTTGATGCAACAGTATTAGCAGGTGTACAAATGAAATAAAAAAATTTATTTGTTTTAATGAATTAGAACTAGTAGGTCAAGTATTTGGGAATCATGTATTTAGTAGCTTTTGTCTGAAATATCTGTTTCACATTATTTTATATTATGGTCATAGATATTGATGACCATTAGGCTTCACTTTTCCTCCTGAGTCAAATGGGATAACAGTACTTCTTAATGGTTTATTTCTGAAATGATAAAGCAAATAAATTAATGTTTTTTATTTATATACTCATAGCTTTTTTTTTTTTTTTTTTTTGAGACAGGGTCTTGCCCTGTCGCCTAGGCTAGAGTACAGTGGTATCATCATAGCTTGCTGCAACCTCACACTCCTAAGCTGAAGCAGTCTTCCTGCTTCAAGTGGCTGGGACTACAGGTGTGTACCACCATACCCAGCTAATTTTTCCATTTTTTTGTAGAGACAGGGTCTCGCTTTTGCACGGACTGGTCCTCAAACTCCTGGCCTCAAGCAATCTTCCCACCTGTGATGTAATTAAGTGACATGACTGTACTGTATTATGGGAAATATTAAACACTGTACATGAATAGACAGAATAGTATAATTATCTCCCATGTTTCCATCACATACCTCAATAATTTTTTGTTACTCTCACCCCATCCTGCTGATGGACAATTTGAAACAGTATATCATTTCATCTATAAGTATTTCGCCGTGCATTTCTAAAAGCTAAGAACCATTTTTAAAAAATAACCACAATAATATTATTACTTTTGAAAAGTTATCTAGAATTCTTTATTACTGTCCAAATATCCTGTCAATATTTATGCTTCTCATTTGTGTCATAGTTTGTTTTTCTGTTGGTTTGTTTGAATCAATGTCCA